TAGAGTACTTGAAAGGATGGCATTCTTAGTGGTAATACTGTTAAATGTATCAAAACTTCCTTTTCATTAGCTACAAATAGTTTTACTATAAGAAACTGAGATTTTATAAGACATTTTAAAGTAACTTGTTTTTTTCTTTTGAGATGGAGTCTTGCTGTCACCCAGGCTGGAGTACAACGGTGCAATCTCAGCTTACTGCAACCTCCGCCTTCCAGGTTCAAGCAATTCTCCTGCCTCAGTCTCCTGAGTAGCTGGGATTACAGGTGTGCACCACCATGCCCGGCTAATTTTTCTTATTAATTAATTTATTTATGAGACGGAGTGTCACTCCTTCACCCAAGTGGGAGTGCAGTGGCGTGATCTCAGTTCACTGCAATCTCTGCCTTCTGGTTTCAAACGATTCCCCTGCCTCAGCCTCCTGAGCAGCTGGGACTACAGGTGCCGGTCACCATGCCCGGCTAATTTTTGTATTTTTAGTGGAGATGGGGTTTCACCATGTTGGCTAGGCTGGTCTCGAACTCCTGACCTCATGATCTGCTCGCCTCGGCCTCCCAAAGTGCTGGGATTACAGGTATGAGTCACCGCACCCGGTCAAAGTAACTTGTTTTAATGGGAAAACAAGCATAAATTAATTTAGTGACTATAACAGGAAAAATGAAGCTTATTTATAGTCTAGGCAAAAAGGTATGACAATTGACAACATATATTTTAATTATGCATTCAATTTATTCCTGTTTTTACATGGAGATTAAGTTTAAAAACTCAAGTTTCAGACTAATAGGTAGTAGATTAGGGCAAAAGTATATAGAATAAGTCAGGGGATATTACCTGTTACATTTATAACTTGAAATCCCCATGACAGCAGAGTTGATTATATCAGTATACTTATTTTCTATTTAAATCAGGCCCCATGCTGTTAAATTCTACCTTGTTTTTGTTTTCCTAAGAAAACAACCAAGTAACTTCATAAATAAGAAATTCTTATTCCTCTTTGAATCATCCATCTTGAAGGTAAGAAGTTGTTCGGGTTGAAACAAACCCAACCCCTTTTTATAATTTTGGCACTAAAAATCAAATTTTATGGCTGCAATTTTATTAAGAGCAAAAACACAGCCATCGTTTGAACATAAAAGCTCATATTTAACTCAATCATTTTGCTAAACATATATAAGACAAATATGGAAGAATGAGGACAAGGAACACCTGGCATTTTTATTAAATGTCTAATTCTCAAAACAGCAATTATTTGAACAATGAAACACAGTTGCAGCATATTGTGAACCTTCTCTATATTCATAAACTATAGAATACACAAGAGCCTAGATTTTATATATTTACTAAATTAATGGCACTTCATATCAATAGGTTTATAAGACATTCTCTTTATTACCAAATGCTGACAATAGCTGGTACCTTTATGAAATTTTTGGATTATAACACTCTTCACCACTAATCCAACTGGCAAAAGAGCAATTTATTTTTTCTCTTTTGGGAAATTCCTTTCTCCCAGAAACATTCCCATTTTTAAAACTATTCAAGATAATTAGAATTTCCTCATCAGTGGCACAGGTATACAGCAATTTACACAACAGTAAATTTCTATCACAATAATTAAAAATAGGAGAAACTTTGGCTATGTCTAGTGCATAACATAATTACATCATTATGATTTTATTGAAAGCACAACAGATTTTATATCATTCGCCCTATCATCGATTACTTACTGCTACACTAATTAAAATATTGTGATTTTTTTTTTGCAGTATTTTCAGTCAGTCCTACATTTGTACTATTTATAATTTAACAATTGACAATGTTTTCTAGGCTGATATGATTACATGCCATTGCTTTTATTGCTAACTTGATAATACTTCTAAAAACTTATTGATAACTAGTCATATGTGAGAAATATTTTATTTCTTTTTACTAGCCTTGTTCTTGATAGCAGCCAAATTTAGCAAGTCTTTGGAATTAGGAAGTAATTTATGTCTATCATTTTTGTTTATGGAACTAACACTGACAGCACTGGTGAATTTTCTGCTTCATCTTTTCTTTCTCTATAAAGTCAATGTTTTAAGATTTTTTATTGTTGTGGATTATTAAAAAGAGAGATGTAATGTTCTTAACTGCTGACAATGTACCTAAAGATGTTTTTTAAGCACCAAATATATATTTAAATTTACATAAAAGATGTAAACATGCATTTACCTTTGCAGGTAATCATATGTTTACATTTACAAACAGAAATATATAATTTATCTCTTCAAAAATGCCATGTGAAAAATAAAAATAGTTCAAAAAAGAAAAAGAAAAGACATATAATTCTTTCTTAATTTTTTGTTAAGCAACGAAAGTTTAAGATCTCTAAATTGAAAAATAAACTTGAAAAATATTCCATCTCTATATTTAATTTGTAAAAATGAATCCCAAACTGCCATTGTTTGACAGCATTGTATATATGAACATCACTGTTCTACAACTTCTAGAACATCCACATTCCACAAACGAACAGCTTAAAAAAAAAATCCCATCTTAGGCTGGGCGAGGTGGCTCACACCTGTAATCCCAGCACTTAGGGAGGCTGAGGCAGGCAGATCATCTGAGGTCGGGAGTTCGAGACCAGCCTGACCAACATAGAGAAACCCCGTCTATACCAACAAAAAAAACAAAATTAGCTGGGCGTGGTGGCGCATGCCTGTAACCCCAGCGACTTAGGAGGCTGAGGCAGGAGAATCACTCGAACTCGGGAGGTGGAGGTTTGGTGGGCCAAGATCATACCACTGCACTCCAGCTCGGGCAACAAGAGTGAAGCTCTGTCTCAAAAAAAGAAAAAAAAAAAAAGAAAAAAAATATATCTCTATATATATCCTTATTTATATATATCCCATCTTAAAAAAATGGCATTAAACAAACATTAAAAAAATGAGAGAAGGGGAACACAATCACACGGCATCACTCACTATTGTAAGTCACTATGTACCTATTATTGTGGGTATTGTTTAATTGGAAACATCACCATTTTAGGATCTAAGATTAAGGGGAATCTACCTAGAACAGACAACAGAAAGCATTCCAACTATGAAATATGATAAATGGCTTATGTTTAAAAGATGCTGGAGAGTATCCAAGAAAGACTGCTAGCTTAGAAATTTATAAAGGAGATGAAATGAAGAATGTGATGTTATCTGTGCTTATGTATCTGTTAGAAATTAAATGATACCTATTTCTTTTTGAAAAGTGGACTGCCCTCCAGTCCGAGTGTAATAAGAATTAAAAAGACTTCTTAAGAGTTAAGTTGAAGAAGGGCTGAGCTGGCTTCCAAGGGACTAATTAAGGAATTCAAGCCTGGACTATATAGGATTCTTTAGGGATTTGCAAATGTTTCCATTCTAATTTTCCAGAGACAAAAACGTAACCGGGAGAAAATTAGAAAAAGAAAGTGACCTGTGGCATTTGGCTACCACTTTGCAAACTGGCTTATTATTAACAGTTTTCAATATTTAATTGATCCCCCACCTAAAAATTCTCACCTTATTGAGTTCAATGGCTGATTGTCTATGATCATAAGGCCATCCCCAACACATACACATTATTTGAGTCACTGTGAGATAATGTAATAAAAGCATCTGAAGCACTTGTTTCATTTAAACAGAGACATGCCCTCAACATCATTAAGAACAGAAAGTCTTGCCCTTGAGTTTTTCTTCAGAGATGCAGAATTAGCTCAAGGAATGGATGGAAATGACATTTTTTGGTAACTGATTTTAGGGTCTCAAATACTTCTATGGAAACAAGTATCCTGAGCATTTTATATGCCCTTGATCTTGTGAGTTTTTCCAGAGGCATAATATTAATTTCAGTTAACTTGTTAAAATTATTCTTTTAGAATTTCTAAGTGTCTCAAAAGTTAAATGAATTGGGGAAAAATGTTTCTTATTCTAAAAAAGAGGTATGCATGTGTATATATAAAAGGAAGGAAAAAGGAGAAAAACAAATCCTCATTTTGATATTTGCAGGAAATATCTGAGGTTTAGCTTGGGAGGTGATGGGGCAATCCAGGGCAAGAAATGATGTCTTAAATAATTAAGGTGACTGCTCCTGACCTTCAACTAAACAGACTGCCTTCCTGTCTACCCTGAAGGTATCACTTGGGTGTTGCTATCCACTGATTCACTTCTGCAAACTTCCCTGACAGAAGAAAGGGGGACTTGCAGCTGGACACTGCTCCCTGGCTCTTTGGAGCGGGTTCTTTACACGATGCATGGACCACAGATCAGCTGCCATCCTACTTGAGTAAAGCTTGCTAAAGATGCAGGGTCTTGGCCCCGACCCGAAACCTCTGACTTTGAATCCATGTCAGAAATCTTCTAATTTATGTACTTACTTGTTTATCTGTTTTGTTCACTGCTATACCTTCAGCTCCTAGAAAAGTACTAGGAACATGGTAGATGCTCAAGAAATATGTACTGAATAAATTTAAAAAAACAAAAAAACAAAAGGGAAGGAAAAGGGACTGCTTTCATGTTTCTCCCACCTCCTCAAGTTTTAACAGCTAAATGTTAAGCTCTTCACAAAGTCTTCAGTGTAACCTAATGAAATTAAAAACAAATTTTACAAAATAATTTCTCAAGTGGAGAGAATATTCTCAATTTATAAAACCATAAGACCAATAAACCTGAATAATGATAGTACTAAAAAAGACAATTACTTATCTGTTAATTCCTTTGAAGGAAAAGGGCTCAAAATTGTGATTCTCAGACCTGGAGATTATAGGGCCCGGGTATAAAATACTTCCCTAAATAACTTACCAGGGCAATGGCATTATTCTTGCTCTAAACTATTAATTAACATCAAATCTCAACGTGTAGAGGGGCTAGGAGAGGCTAGAAAGTGAGCATACTAGGATAAGCAGGAAAAAAAAAAACAGAAATAAACCAGAACATGACACCAAACAGTAACCTTTTATGACAATGATAGGGAGACTCAGAGTTAATACTTACAAGGTAAGAATTGCTGAGCTAAGTAGAGATCTCTTTTATTATGGTCTTCATTCTATGATTATTAAACCTAGGAAAAAGAGGGAAGACTTTAAAAATTTCATCACATTATATGTAAGTTAGAACATTTCAACTGAGGTTGCCACAACTGTATTCTGATCCTTATATAGCACAGAACAATCAGATTATAAACACCCAGCAGCATTTGTATGTTTCAGCCCAGTGCAGCATTCTTGTTAGTTTTTTTTGTTAAGAGATGGGGTCTTACTCTATCAACCAGGCTGGAGTGCAATGGTGTGGTCCTAACTCACTGCAACTTCAAACTCTTGAGTTTAAGCTATTCTCCTGCCTCAACCTCCCAAGTAGCTGGGATTACAGGCCTGCATGCCACTACATCCTGCTTATCATTGGCTTTTATAATTTGCTATTCTATTACTATTGCCCTCTTGAAGTTTAACTCAAAAATTTTAGTCAAAGCTAAAACTCTAACTTGGAATCCAATGAGCTTCTGGAGGACATCATATATTTGCAGATATTTTAAGATAAATTCAAGATCACATCCCAAGACTGATTCATGTCTCTCACACACATACAATTGCATAATCTATAATCCATGTATTATATACTGCACAATTCCAAGTACACAAAGGAAGGAACATATGACATATATTTAAAGATATGCTGGTAATTTGAGTTGGTTAGCATGTTTGGTTTCTGTGGGTCATGATTCTAAGATGTAGTTGTTACATCAACTAATAGTTAAGCACTTACTATAAGATAAAGAATAGAAAGAATACGACAAACCCATCCATTTTCTTAACGGAGAACTGCAAGTATATGTTTTACTGTAGACTAATCTTCACAGAAGAAGAACAGCATGTTTTTAAAAATTTCAAAATCATTTGCTTCAAAATTCATAGAAAAATCAAGGGAATACCAAAATGAACCTCCACATCCTATCTCTGGACTCCCAATCCAGCTGTACTGAAATCTAAAACTATGCCATGCTTACTTTGCTTTGTTTTTTATGAAAATTGATTACACATACAGATGATGTCCAATTTTATCATTGCTTTCAAGCTATCGAAAAATGGTATAATATCATACATATTTTACATACATGTTACTCCATATATAACCTTTATGCAACTCATTTTTGTTTGTTGAGGTAGGATATTCACCCATGATGACAAACACAGCTCTCATTTTAGTAGCTATACAGTTCATCACATGACGATGTCACAATTTGCCATTCTCTTCTTGCTTAACATTTACATTGCTTTCATTTTTTTTCCAATTACAAATAACCAAGACTTTTTTTTTTACATGTCTGAGTTTATCTAGAGCATCTAGGAATAAAATTGTTGGGTGAAAGCCTATTGTATCTTCAATTTTACAAAGATACTGCTAAATGCTCCCACAAGCAGCATATGAAAAGTTCCTCATTTTATATCTCCTCCAACATTTGGAAGCATATTTAAGAAAAACAGCTACTATCTATATGAAAATTTAAAAATTCGTAAGTGATCAATTCCTACGGTTTTCATCAAGTATTGGTTTAACATAGGTATACTAAATGTTCCAAACAAAGAGAATAGAATGAAATTTGGCCCAAGGCACTTACATGAAAACAAAGCTCTGATAACACAGATTTTCCTTATATGACTGAGGAAATACCAAGACCTAATCTATTTTTTAATCAGCCGAATTTAAGATTCAAGAACTTAATCTAGAAATGATAAGATTCCTAATTAAATATTAAGCTTAGATTCAAGATGACCAAAGAGGGAAAAAAACATGCAGGAAAAGTAGCTGGTTTGTTGGTATGAACAATCCCTCCCCCAAGTTCATTTTGGGTAGTGCTTCTCACAAATGTGGTTGGTGCTCCTAAGAAAAATCTCTTAGAGTTTGTAAAAAAATGCAAATTCCAGGTCTGGAAAAATGTTTTTATTTTATTTTTTAAATTCTAGGTTATTCTCATACAGGTGGTTCGCAGGCATTAAGCAGTAAGTAATGATTAAAAATGAGGTGTTTTCAACACAGAGGATTATGTAACTCATGTTTTAGTTAGGGGAGGTAACAGTAATTAATATGTTATCTGCTAAATTACATAAACATATTTTTTTAAAAACCTCTAGCATTAGTCAACAACAACAAAAAAGTAACCTCAATTTATGGCTGAATATGCTTGACTTCACAATGCCAGAAAAGGTTGTGGGCTCATTTATTTTTTCAGATAACTAGACACATACTATGACAAAGCTCTTTTTAGTAATATTAGCAGGGAACTAATGTTCTGAATTTACTGTGAATGGCACAGGAAAATATTAAGAGTGAGAGTGATCAGGAGTGATTTTAATGAAGATGACCAGAAAGCAACTATGATTACCTTTTAAACAGAAAGCTATTGCAAATGTCAAACTTTAATCAGGACATTTGGCTTTATACATACACACATACATACACACACACACATATATACATACACACATACACACACACACCTCCCCCCACCCACCCCCTTAGTAGTTTCCCACCAAGAATTCTATGAATAAATTCAGAACATTTATAGAAATCCAATATTCACACTTCTCTGTAACTCTCACCTATTGAAATTAGATGTAAAAGGAAGAAAAAAATTGAATATTTAGGTTATAAAAATCTGTGCAAATTCAAATTATAAAAATAAAAACATTCTTCTACAGTATTTGAAATTACAAAGTCCTATTTCCAAAAGATTTAGAATAATCTGAGCTTTCTAGATAAAAAGTTCAGATAAAAGATATTTCAGTGAGAAATGGTAAATAGAAAAATAGTTTAGTAGTAAGAAAAAAGACATAAGTTTTCATCTGTTGCCTGCTTTTAGTTATTTACAACACTAAGTTAACATAGCATGTTGTTTTCTTTCTTCTATTATAGTGAAATCAACAAGAATTTGGCCTTGTTAGACTGGGCTTTTATAAAACAAAGATAATATGGTCCAAAAGTGAAAGAAACACTCCTGTGTGGCCATGGCCAACTTCTCTTTTCTATCCTCAATATATTACCTAACTTGTGATATCAGCAACTAATTATAATTTTTTTCAGTCTACCTGCTTAAAAGTGAAAACATGAAACATACCATATATACATGAAACATACTACCTATACCTCTAGAAACAAGACAGGTTTTCCATTCTAATGGATGGAATTAACTGAATAAAAATTAAATGAACTAAAGCCAGAGTAAATAGTAAAAAAATAATAGAGTCTAAGAACTACAAGCATCTACTGTTCTCTTTATGCTGCAACCTTTCTGCTAAAGAATGTATTCTCTATACTGTGTATGTGGTACAGTGACAGTTGGGCTCTTCCCACCTAGGTTTGTAAAAACGGATGGGTGCAGGCTCCTTTGGCTACCATTATTGCATACTGATGTTATTCTGCACAACAGCTGACAAGCAGCATCGATCTCCCAGCCTCTGCTCCCAGCTGTAAGGGGTAAGAACAAGGGCTGTGGTGATATCTTGTTTATTCACTGCTGTTGCTGCTGCTGCTGCTTCTTCTTAAACAGCAAGCTGAGAAAAGACTATACAACTGACACACAGAGGAAAAATGGTTCAGAGATCAACCTACCTCTCAAGGTCTGCTTATATCACTGTATGATAAAATTATTTTTAAAATAATTTTTTCTTTAAAAAGTGGGGTGGGGAGAGAAAAAGACAAAATTGGTGTTTTGATTAGAAAGGGAACCTATAATGTATGCAAGGAAAAGGAAATTAATGACGTATATAATAATCTTCCCCTTGTAAGTTTAGATTTAACTGCTCAATTATCAAAATTCTCTGAAGAGTTTTAACCAATGTTGGGGTAAATTCATAAAGAGAGTAACTTCCCTACCTATTCTCCTGGAAAATAAGAAAGTGTCAAACTCCAATCAAGAAATGACACTTTATTTTACTTACAAAATGCCTCTGGCTCCCAAGAACCCCATATCTAATTACCACCATATGTTTGACTTTAGACACTATTAGCAAAGAAGTAAGATTTTAGTCCATAATGTTTTTGCATAAATCCCATTAGAAAAACTTCCATATGCAATTTACCTATTTTAAATGTGCAATACAAAGTTAAAAACTCAGTAAGTATATAGTATTAATTGATGAGTAACAGAAATATTCATTGTTCAATCACCTTTAAATGTAATGTGATGCTATTTATAGATTTACAGCTTTAACTCTAAAGGCAACTCATCTTTTAGAACCTTAAGCAATTTGTGATTCAGAAAAATATAAAAAGTCAGAAAAATTTGGAGATCTATAAACTATTAAAAAGAAAAACCCACATAGGCTAGAACTGGCTAGCAAGTTTAAATAATAATACTTAATCAAGAAGGCTAAGTTTGAGACATTTTAAAATAAAAGTATGAAACAGTAGCAATATTTTAAATTTAGATATTTTGTAAAAAATCAAAACCCAACCCCAATCTTCTATTTTTATCAAAATTGAAAAATTTTTCTGCTTAGCAGCTCAATGAGGAACAAAAAATGTTAATAATAATAAAAATAATTCTGAAGATCAGAGGATACCAAGATACTTTATTTGTTTGGTATGAAGGATATAAAATAAAAAAGACTAACAGCAAATCTTAAAGAAAGATTTTAAAAAATCTAGATACTTAGAAGCAGTAATGGATTAATAAACTATTAACCAGTAGGATTAATCAGTCTCAGCAGCCACATGTGAAATATGCTTCACATATCTCCTCCAAGATTCTAACCATGAAAATTGGAAAGTAAAACTAAATCAAATAATATGCTAATGAAGTATCAAAAGTATGGTTTGTGGTGCTGTGAATAGAAATTTCACCTCAAAATGTATTTAATATGAATTTTAAACCCTCACATTAATTATTACCCTTTGAAAAATGCTTATCAGAAAATATAATTCTGATACATTAGATCTCATTTGAAGAAAAACAACTGAAATAGGTTAAGGATGTTATTTGCTAGTTTAAGAAAAAACACATAAAATACAC